TAACCTGTGTGTGCTGTGCTACTGAATGTACTAGGAACATCTGAGTAAAACACATGCTCAGCTGACCCAGATACAGTCAAAAGAACCAGGCACGTTTACTTAAAATGCTGACTGTTGTTTTGCAAATACAATATTGCCTCAAAGCAAAGGCACACATGCCATGTGTTGAACATGTCAACATACTAGTCACATACAGGCTGAATGTATTAATTGCACGGGCAAACATACCAGACACATTCAGGTAACAGGCACTTCCTGTTTAGCTGAAAGTACTGCTCCCTTCTTTTTCTCTCCCAGCAACTCTCCCCTGCCTCCCCACAACCAAAAAACCAAGCATACTAGGCAGCTACGCATCATTTGTACCCAGACTGAGGGCACCTGTACCTGTTGCAGTGGGTTATATTTCATGTATACCAAGACAGACCAGATGTGCTGCTGCAGTGCTAAGTGACCTAGGTACAATGGTTTTGCTGAATGTTTCAGGTACGTCCACACAGAACAAAACCTGTTTGGTTGCTAAACATAGAGTGGAGTCTTAATGTCTTAGTGTAATGGATGTAGTATAGCCAGCAGGCTAGAAGGTCTGCCACTTTAACGCTTGAGCCAAACGAACAATGTCTCTGGCCCTTTGAGTTTCAGTGCATTACTTGCAGTTTCCAGCTGGTATTTTTTTTGCTGCTTGTCTAATTAACGAGCAGCATGTACTGCGGTGTGCTAGGGAGAAGTGTAATGGCGTCTCTCCCCAGCAGCAACTCCTTCTTGTAATTGCTGCAATTAGTTGAATTGGTAATGTGGACCATTAGGGAAAGTCTGTGGCAGCCTCTGGACACAGGTTATAACATTCCTGCAGACAGTACAGAATTACCCTGGCTCAGCAGCATCAGCTCAACCTCTGGCTCCTGCTGTCTCTCTCCCCTGTCCTTCCCTCATGTGTAGCAGAACACTGCCCATTAGACAGAGCAACTGCATCAGTGAAAGGATTTATAAACAAAACCCCTTGCTGGGGCTGCCATGAATTGCTACTCACCTCTCTGACACGCCAGGGAAGCAAAGTGACCCTCAGAACATTTTATTGAGATTTAGGTAGAGAAAATATTTATCCTGGGGCCTCCGGGCCTTTACAAATACCCCAGTACCTTGTCCCAGAAAAAGACTCATTCTCTGTCTTCTTTTCACAGGGAACTCTCCTTTACCTTCCTTGCTACTCTAAACTTCTGTGATAGGGACAGACAGTCAAAAAGCTTGAGCATGAATTGATTCAGTCTTCACAAGTTAGTCTAACCTGCAAAGCTTGAACTGATTTGGAAGTGGACAGACATTCCCTTTTCACTCTAGAAACGCAGGCACATGCCTGCAGTGGCTCAAGCTAGAAGCGGGGGGAGGAGTAGGGTGCTAGAGCAGCCTTCCATTCACTTCCACAGGGCTGTGCTGAGGGTGGGGCATGGCCAGGCTCTGGCAGGATGCTCTTATTATTCCCCAACTTCTGAGCTGCCCACCAGGGAATGTTTATCACCCCTAACTCAATGTTTATCAACCCATTAAGAAAACAGAGCCGCTCTCCATTAACTAATGGAGTTCTTTGTAAACAGCTCTTCTAAGGAAGGACATTAACCTGTTGATTAGCTCCAAAAAGCCTGTCTGCCTTTGTTGTCTGCCACATCAGGGACTATAACCAGCATGTGATATGCTAGTTAATGCTGAGCCGTCTGTGTAAGGCAGAGGGGTAGGGGAATAATCCCTGCTTAGCAGGGAGAAGCCAGGCAAATTCTCTGTGCCTGCAAGTCTCTGCTGGAGCTGCAGCCAGGGAGCAGAGAGGAGAGGCCAGCCCTGCTGTGGAGCAGACAGACCAGCCCAGAGAGCATGCCGGGATGCTGGGGGAGTCTGGTTTATCTTAAACCAGAAAGGGGTCTGAGACAGACATTGCATAAACCAGTTTGACCCAAATCAGTTAAGCCTACATTCAACCAGGTTCAGTGCACTTAAACTGGTTTCTGTGTAATGTCTGTCCCTAGCCCCCAAATGGTCAGGCAGTGCCAGGTTCTTTACCCAACTGTACAGAACATCTAGCCTACTTAGCACAGAGCCTGCTGGACTTGGTATCAGGAAACCCTTGCCCTCTCTGTCTTCTGCTGCAAACACATATCACCCTTCCCCGTGCTCTTTGAACCGAGTGATAGGCAGGGCCTAGCACAGGCAAATGTGAGGCACATCCAACTGTCTAGCATTACCCTGTCCACAGGTTGCTTCCATTCATCATTTCCTAAGCAGGGTTTTTATCAGGAGAATCTGTCATGTGAACTGCACATGGCTGTTCTGCCTGTTAGTGTAGTAAAAGCCCCTTTTAAGTTGTTGCTGCCTGGTATGCCTGATATTAGGTCCAAACCAACATTCCTTTGACTCTGATTTCAGTGAGTCAGGGTTGGTCAAGGACTATAAGTAAGAGCAACAGGATGAAATTAAGAAGTAGAAAATAAAAGTTTAATATCTATAAGCATGGGAAGGAATGGGAGCCATCTCACACAAATCATTTAAACTTGCACTGGATCAGCAGAGCACTAGAAAACATTTTATAGGACAATATCTTACAGTGGCACCTGGGGGATGGACTATATGAAACTTTCTAAGACAATGGATCAGAAGATTAGTTATTTGAAGAGATGATTGAACATGTCTAATCTACATATTATGTTCTCTTTGAATATGGAAATGAGCTTCCTAGGAACTGGCTTGTGGTGACATAATTTTACTCAGGACCCTTTTTGCACTGGACTTTAAGGACATCCTGAGATGGTTTAAGAGAGAGAAAAATGTAAGAAACATGTATGTAAAGAGGAACTTGGCTGACCTGGGGATCAAAGTTGTTTCTTTAGCTAAAATGGCAGCTTCTCTTGGGCATGCAAAACAAAGGAAGACTGAAATCTGTTGAAATCCTAGGGCTAACTTCTCACTCTAAATATAAAGGTGGGTTCAATGCCAGGCTGTGCAGCAAGAGGCATCCAGGGGAGGGATATGCAAGATGTATGTTCTGGCCATGTAGATGTATTGTATGACATCGGTTATCTCAAAGGATGCCAAGATATTATAGAAGCAATACCCAGGGAAATGGTATGCTCCAATCCTGAACTGCAGCTGCCTCTTGGGGGAACACGTCACCTTTTTAACTGCAACGTTATAAAATAATTTGCTACATCAAGCAAACAGCATTGTATTGAATATGCAGGGGGACTTCTAATTAGGTGGAATGTAATTAAGATTTAGATATCAGACACCCGTACACTTAGGATTGTTAATTTCAAGTTTTCTGTTTCAGAAGGAAGAAAACTTTTAATTGGAAGAATTCTGACCTGGACTGCTAAGGACTACAAGGAAAGTACAGAAGCTACCAAAGAACCACAACTCTTAGAGCACTAGGCTTTCTGTGGAGGTCTTTGCTCAAATTAGAAGATTTAACAAGTTCACAGGGAAGACGTTACACCTAGAGACCTCTGAGAAGTTATGAGGACCTTTAATGATATGAATATGGAATCACATCCATTATAACAGCCAACATGGCTCAGTCATTTTCCTGCAGAACACTTGGAACAGCTGCTTTTTCTTATTGCTGTCACCGTCCTTTGCAGAAGCTGACAGATGAAGAAGTCTGAAACACAGCATATGTTTGGAGTGAGACAGCGATGCAAAGACAGTGGGAGTGGTGTGTTTTAATCTTTCAGTTCCATAGCCAATTGAAAAAACAGCTCAAAGTCTACACATGCTCCTAGATAAATGCCTGATGGAGAAAAGGTTCTCAACTCAAATAATTCATGGGACGTGGCTTCTTTTGCTGGGAAAGAGGGTCACAAAGAGCAGCCTGATATGCAAAATGTAGAGAAGTGCCTAACTCTGGCCCCATTTTTCCTGCTAAATGTGACTGGTGGCACTTTCCTGTATTCCAAGAGTGCTCCCAAAGCCCTCACACAAATTCCCTGGTGCCCTCGTCCTTTCTTCTCCTGTGATTCCAGAATAAGACACAAAGAATACTGGCTTATTTTTTTACCAGAACTATTGTCAGTACTGAGACCTCCAGGAAGGCCAGGAGAAACTAATTAACTCGCTAGTCTTGCTGGAAAACATCTTGTAATTTTCCCCCCAGGGCTTTCTACTTCTCTCAGTCACTATCTGATTTTCCAGTGGCAGCACCTGCTGCTTTCCATGAACCTTCAGCTCACATACCAAAACATGAGCCATCCTCGCAGGATTCTAGCCTTTCTGTGAGAAGATGTAGCAACTTCCCAGAGATTAAAGCAGAGCAAATAGGAATATAAATCTTGTACCAGGGAACAGTCACTTTGGGCATTTATACACATGCTTCAGGGGTTCAGGGCGCTTTACAGCATGTTGGAGCAGCCTCAATGTATGTGTATAGGCACCCTATAAGACCATCTTCTGAAGACAGCATGGTTTTCACCTGTGGATTCAGAAGACAGCATACTCTAGGGGACAATGAGCAGCACAAAACTGCCAAGAACTCCTTTTTTCTTCCCTCGTGCTGCCACCAACTGATCATTTGTAAAAATCATCTAACCAGTCTATGCTTCACATTCCCCATTTGCAAAATGGGGCTGATTAAACTCTGTCTCAAGAGGACTGTGAGGATTAATTAGTTAACACTGGTCTAGTGCTCAGAAGTTGTTAAGTGCTAAGTGTTATCATCCATGGGCAACTG